TCTTGTATCAAATACTACATTATATATATAATATAAAATAATAAAAAATCTACTTATTTTAAGAATAAGTCTACTTAAATCTACTTTACTCAATAATTTATATTCTATATTAAATTTTAATAATTCAATAAAGTCAACAATTTAAAAAAAATTAAAAAAATATTTAATACTCTGTTTAATTAATTTAAATTAATATATAATCATAAAAATATTTTATACGTTGATTTGAATATATATAATGAAGTATTATATAATTTTTAAATTTTTAAAAATTTTAAACTTAATTTATATATTAAAAATTTAAAATTTAATAATTAAATCATCAAAATTTGATGTAGAATATCTGTATGTGTGGAATGATGTTACTTATTTATATTAGATTAAAAAATCACATTATAATTGATAATAGATACAAAAATTACAAATATTTACTTTTCTCATACACGAATTCTGACTTAATTCCAAACACACACTATAAATTATTGAGTGAAGTGTATCCTTTCTAAGTTTATTTTTACGGTAAACAAATCTTTTCCCCATTTTGTTAAGTGCCAACATAGGTATAAATGTATGAATGTAATAAATTATGTATTAAATAAAGAATTAATCACTTATATACGGCAAGTGTAAAGTTTTTTTACATTAGCAACCAATTATATTTTTTAATTGTGTCATGTTACTGTTAAACGTAAATACGTTTATACGTTTATAGTGACATGACAAAATTAAAAGATATAATTAATTACTAATGTAAAAAAACTTTACACTTGCAGTGTATAGATGATTACCTCTTAAACAAAATGGTTATGTAGAAGAAGATTAAAACAAATTTAATTAGTCTTTCTTTTTCCACCATTCTTTAAAAGGGTACAATTATACAGAAACTGCTGACACCTTATCATTAATCGCCCACATTTAATTTAAAAAAAATAGAGAAAGACACAGTACTTTATTTTATTACACTAGTAATAGAACATAAAAAAGAAATATATTAATATTAATGTTATTAGTCGGCCACGAGTCCACTCCGGCAATGCAAGGAATCTTATGCAGAGAGAAACGACGAGCAAAGCACGATGACACGTGACAAGCGCGTGGGACCCGCCATCTCGATTAACAACAACGTCCATTTAAAACGCCGCCGTCTGTTCATTTCAACGCTGAGATTCATAACGTCTCTCTCTCTCTCTCTCTAAAATCCAATCATTTCCCGAAAGACAAAACAACAAAAAATCACACACACAACACAACACACCACCACCAATCCCCAATCTCTAACTTTTCCCCTTAATTTTTCCATTTTCTCCCTCAGATTCCCGCAAATATTCACATCGCATCTTTTCCCACTGCCAATTCCAATCCAATTCTGGATTCCCAATGACTTCTCCCACCTCTTTCTTCCATCTCTCTCCACAATCTCTGCCTTCAAATTCTCTCCTCCAATTTTAACTCTTACTTAGGTTAATTAACTTTTCTTTCTTATTACTTATTAGATTTATACTTTTCTTGTGAATCCATGCTTTGTTTTATTTTGGTGTACATAATTAGTCCAAAAGATTTTTTATTTTTATTTTTTTTCATTTAAAGTTTAGTTAAGGGTCTTTGACTTGGCTTTTATTGATGTGAAGTGTATGGATGGTAGGTAGGGTCTAGTACTATTGTGAAATTGCTAATAGGGTGGATCAAATTTGGTGATTTTGTTTTGTTGTTCTTGCAAGTTTCAATAGGAATTGATTTTTTTTATTATTATTTTTTGTAAATTGTAGTGACTATAACTATGTATCATGCGAAGAAGTTTTCGCCGGGTAGCATGGTGCCTCATAAATCTCAAGGTGGTGCTGAACAGCTTGCAAATGTTGGGGTTTTGGGTGGATCTGCAGTGAAAAATGCCGCACCTGCTGGGGGAAGTGGGAAACAACGGTTAAGGTGGACATCTGATCTTCATGACCGTTTTGTGGATGCCATTACGCAACTTGGTGGACCAGATAGTGGGTATTTCTTTTCAATATTGAGATTAACACAACCTCAAGGGATTTTTTTTTTCTTGGTAATTTATCATTGTTTTGCAAGAGCCTGTGAGAAAGAGAGTTTTGTGGGATTTGCTCTTCACATTTTCGAGTATGTAATGCTGGTCATGTGTAAGCCTGACTTAGTTTTAGCATATGAATGCTGGTCATGTGTTTTTATTGAAAGCTGCGATCAATTTATTCTTGCAATTATTGAGATAATTGCTCATTTTGTTACTTGCGTTCCAAGGATTGCATTGAGCCGCATACTAATTTTTGACAATACCATGTTTAGATTGCATGAATTGAATTCAATTTAGCATAGCAATTAGATGAGATTTAATCCTACCTTTTGAATTATAAATAACTCGGAAGAATTATTTTGCCTCAAACTCATTTCACCTGTTGCACCTTTTTAATGATTTAAAAAATTCATTAGGAAATGCCAATTTTATTTATTTACTTTTTTTAAGAAAAAATATTCAGATCTGATTCACACTCTTGAGTGTAACAAAAACTAGCAATGGTGAGTTACATTGGAATAGTTCCTATTGTTTCTTCTTTCAGTGGAATCTATTGTATGGCAGCACAGATTGTTATTTGAAACTGCAGGCTTCAAAATTCGTGTGCATGCCAGGCAGGCAGACTCTGTACTTTTCAGAATTCACTTGAATTTTTAATATTTTCAGTGGCTGGTTATTTTCATTTGATGTAGACTTATTCATGGAAAATGCTACTCCTTTTCTCCCCCTTTGTTTTGCATTTACTTCTTTAGCCTGATGATCTGCAAAAATTTAGCTGTACTCCTGGAAATTTTTTAATTTTTTAAAATATTCATGGCAGGAGCAACACCAAAAGGTGTTCTTAGGGTGATGGGTGTTCCTGGATTGACTATTTATCATGTTAAAAGCCATTTACAGGTATTATTATCTGGCGTAATAATTTAGGTATATGCACGTAAAATGTCAGTTTTTTTTTTTCTTTTTTTTCTTTTTCATTTAACACTGATTCATATCCTCTTCGATATCATTATATGCAGAAATATCGCCTTGCAAAGTACTTGCCTGAATCACCAGCTGATGGTAAAGGTGCCTTGTTTTTTCTTGCCCTTCCTTCCCCAAAACAAATTAATTAGAAATGCTATATTGTTTTGATTTCACACTTTCAATTAAATCTGTGGGATTTTTTTTAAACAAAAAAAATGACTTTCAGACTCTAAAGATGAGAAAAGGAATTCTGGAGACAGCCTTTCTGGTGCAGATTCCTCCCCGTGGGTATCTTAATTGTTGTCCTAAAATAATTTATAACTCCTTTACCGGGCTTCCTCTTCTAACATTTTAATAAAAACTTTACGGCCTCCAGGGGATTGCCAATCAATGATGCCTTGAGAATGCAGATGGAGGTTCAGAAACGTCTACACGAGCAGCTTGAGGTTTGGTACCTGATCTTACTATTTTTCCTAATTGCCGAAAGAAAACACTATTTAGCCTGCAAACACTTACTTTTCCCTCTTCTTGTTCATTAATCATTGGTTAGAGGTTTAGAAAGAGTTCTATGTAAAAGAACCAAAAGGAAACAAAAATGATGATAGTACATAACCAATCTGTAAACAGGAAAGGAAATAGTGCAAATATAATGGGTTAAGAATAGTATGCAATAACATGCTTCGTGTATCTCCCTGATGATGGCATACAGATCATTCGTCTTCTGTTTAGAGTTCATGCCGCATACAATAAGCTTTTACAAGTATCTAATGTTAACAGTACATCTGATTTTGCCTGTTGTATTATTAAACTTGGATACACTACCCCAACCATCCTTGTATCATATCATTTACTTAACAATTTCAGCCATAGACAAATAAAATAAATTTTGTTAGTTATACAGTATGAATGATTTTTATTGTTTGTTGATTGAATGAAATTGGAACATGCATATGGTTGGTATGAGTGATTGGTCTAAATTTAACTTGCAATAGAAACTTCAAATGTTGCTAATAATTTGAGAAATGGTCCTCTGATGAAGAGGAATAGTTAGCTTATATTTAGCCTCAGGACTTGTGCAGTACACCAATAAGATAAATGCTGTAGTACTTGTTAAATATCATAGTATTGTGCTTCTATGAGCAACCATTTCTGCCAATGATAAAGCCTTTGATCTTTTTCAATGATATTCCAGGTTCAAAAGCAGTTGCAAATGAGAATTGAAGCACAGGGTAAATACTTGCAAAAGATCATAGAGGAACAGCAGAAATTAGGTAGTACCTTGACAACCTCAGAAACACTTCCTTTGTCCCATGATAAGCAAAATCATCATCAATCAGAGGCTTCTGGATCTAGTGATGCCCTTGCAAGCACTTTGTCTCCACGTAAAAAACAGAGAATTGATGATGGTTCCAAGGATGGCTTCACTGTTTCCCAAGTAAGAAAGACTGCACAAAATAATGACTGCAATGCTGGTCAGTTGGATCCAAACTTGTATGATGATGCTGGGTTTGGATTTGATTTGGAGACAAAAAAGGATGAAGATAAGGAGAGCGAGCAGTAAGAAGTAGGTTCGGTTTGTAGGCCAACGTGTGTCTGATTGTAATGTGTAGTGTATTTTTCTGGTAGAAAATACAAATCATGCTTTGTAAATTATATTTCACACAATCCATTTGTACATATTAATGTAGATATAGATGCATTCTTCTCTCCTGTTGTGAGAGTCATAAACACTCTGCTCTCCACCCAACAGAAATGCTTTGACATGCTTTACATGTGTGGTCATGGATGATGATGTTGGGTGCAGGATACTTGTCAATGTTCAGGTTGTTATGGTCCAAGTCTTTATCAAAGTTATCAATTAGCTGGTGATGACATTGTTTGATCCTGGTAACCAACCTAATCGAAGTTTTCAATTAGTTTGGTTCTTATTGTTGGAGATAGATGACAAGCTTCCTTTTATATTAATAATGTGTTTTTTTTCGAGATTGACGTTGTTTTGCATATTTAGACTCATGAATGTGATGCTATCTAACCTACATAATGAACTGAAATTGTTAATATAAAACTGACACGGTGAGAATCTGGCAACTACAGCTTGTTAAGATTATACATGTCTTGGGGGGTTGAGTCTCACTTCTCTCTCTCTCTCTCTCTAAACATTTCTTCTTAATATCTATATTTAAAAAAAAAAAAATTATCTTGCTTTCTTGCCTTTTGCATATATGTTGAAGTTTTTATTTATTTATTTTTACTTCTGTAGTGTAATTTTTGTTTTGATTATTATATATTGAAGGGAATTGTTCCATATGAAATACTGTTTCAGCCACTACATCAAACATACTCTGAATACCTGTGATCTGAAAGATTGGGATGCTGGCAGTTTTAGATTAAATGAATTTGATAATAGTCCTTGTTGATTTGATTATCATAAGAGTTATTTAACATTACGAGTAAATAGCATATCTACCGATACTGTAATTCATTTTTACATTTTCTTCGATTACAAACCGACATATATTAACGATGATTCTTATTTAGTTAATTTTGATTGTAAAAAAGATAAGATATTTTTTTAATAATAATCATCTTAAAAATTATATTAATAATAATTAATTTTTATATATTAAATACGAATTATTATCTTACATGAGTATTTTTAAAAAAAAATTCTTAAACTAAAAAATTTGTAGATATTCTTTAGACTTCTTATCACATTTGTTTTTTTATTTATTTATTATAAATATGAATTTAAGTATTATATTTTAAAATAAGTAAAGGTATTTTTTTATAATATAAATTATTTATCATAAATTTTAAAATATAATTTATATATTTAAAAATATAGAAATTTATAATTTTTAAATATAATTTATTTATTTAAATATAATATTTATTTATATATAATTTAGTTGTTGAACAATTATTTTATTTTAGTAATTTTAGTTTCTAAATTTTTTCATTGATATTTTGATATCTGATGTTAAAATTTTTTATTCATAAAAATAATTTAGAGCCGAAAATCAAGTAAAATTTCTTCATGAATTTAAAACAAACGTTAAAGATAAATATTCAGGCAATAAAAATATTTGATACTCGATTATGTTGGTCACTGTATATCTTTAACTTGGTAAGAGGTATTCACACAGTCCATTATTGATCTCATGTTCAAGAGATTTAAGTTACAACATCTATCTGACTCAGAAGAGTGGTCTGTGTGGTATCACTAATCCATAGTAGATGACATTACTGTTCATTCATTTCATGATAAGGTTAACGACCATTTCTTTGTCTAGTGTAGTGCCGTCTCTCGTAAACCTTAACAATCCTTTCATTTGTATGCAGGCATACTCCTACGTTCAACAGTAATTAGGTATACATAAATTGTATATTATACTTGTTTGTAAAGGGAACAAAAGGACTACCATAAATTTTTAATAAAATCACACTTCAAACAAAATGTGGGAAGAGGTTGATCACATTTACAGTCTACTCTACAGATTTCACCCATTCAAATAATGAAAAATAGTTTGAACTGTTATTATTATTATTTTTTTCTTTCGAATAATATATTTTATTCCACTGTATTATAACCCTTTCATCCTCCCAATACAGGCACAACCTCTAAAACTTCAAACAATTGAGATTTACAATTGCAATGAAAAAATGGTTTGGTAACTTTGCTAAAGTACTTCAGCTTAGTCCAATGAGCCCCAATTATTGCATTATTTTTGTCTCTTCACATATTCTCAATCTACCGTATCAAAGACTAATCCTGTTAGCAGTATTATGACTGTCACCAGTTCCAAGAATTTATGCATACAACAGAAATCGAACACAAATTTTCTCGTTGAATAAATCATCCTCAAAGTGTGTGAACACAAATTTGCAAACTTAATATTTAATTATCTAAATTTTGAAGTGAAGTGATTCATATTTCATAATTAGAAATTATAAAATTCTCAACCCAATACAAAATATTGTTTTGCTTTTGGTCAATCATGCATTAGACACAAGTTATTTTGGTTTAAAACAACCAAATTTTCTTCTTATCTTAGTATCATGTTCACTCACCAAAAACTTGATTTGGAGTCTCCCGTCATCTTTCTAATCATGGTATATAGTTAGTAACCTCAAATCAAAAACCATTTTTATGTGCCAAGGTTGACATTTTCCGTGGGACAGGTTCCTGAGTACATATGGAATTAGCATAAAACCAAAATGTTCAACTGGTTATAGCAAATGAAACCAACCAGGTAATGGTCATAAGTTGCACTGCACCCCACACACCAAATAGGACTTGAGAAAAAAGAAAAAACTTAAGTGCAATACCACAGATGTTCTCGCTTACATTCTTAAAGCACAAATTACTAACACAAGACTTCAATTTTATTCAATCTGAGAACAGCACCAAAAACATCTATAGTATTGCACCTAAGTTTTGTCTTAAAAAAAGGGTAGTAGAGCCATAATGTGTTCAAAATTCGATTAAAGCATATTTATAGTGCTGGTTAAGTAGGAGGTGGGACTTATAAAATGTACATACAGGAAAACACTCTTACAAGGGACATGCTGAGGAGAATAAATAGCAGCACTTCCCAGAGAAAAACAGCCTTCCAAATGTTGGAAACTTGAGTGCCAAAGATATATGTTGCAAATGAGAACTATGGAAGTGCATGAAAGTTTGGTAGGAACTTAATTGCAATGAAGCCATCAAAGGGGAGCTGAACTAGTTCTGCGAAGCTGATGCTTAGGATCAGGTGGTGGTGCACTTGGCAACACTCTCTCTATCTCCTGCAAGAAAGATCATCAAAGAGAAGTTACTATGTGCAGAGATAAATCATCAAGAACCATCTCCAATGTTGTTATCTAAAACATTTTTTGTGTGCTATTTTTGCTACAACAATGTAAATAATTCAGCAAATTCAAGAAAAACAAGTATACTATTATGGTTAGTTCGTTGCAAAACCAAAATACCAGTTTACATTTTACCATATTGTTGGTTCAAAGATCATTAAGCCATATCAGTATACCACAAACACACAAAGCTATGTCCTTCGAGTTTTACAGTCACGAAGCTTGTTCAAGAAAGTTCCAACTTATAAATGGATGGATATTTCGCTTGGATGACTATCAAGTATCAACTTCAAATCTAACTAAAATCTATGTCCTGGATAAATTATTAATCCTCATCTATTACTAAAATCTAACTACGGATATTTCATTTTGATTCCACAAAAAGACAATCACAGGCAATCGGCTTCAGCCTGATCATACAAATGTTATCTTTCATTTTTATATATTTTAACTAAGGTCATTCTGAGGATCTAAACAGTAGTGATTCTCATGCTCTTCAGCTGAAATTCTTATATAAAGATTTGTCAGGTGCCCTTTAGTTTTGTCAGCAATGAAGTTACAATGAAGAAATGGAGCCATGTCCAAATGTTACGTTGAAACTGAAGACAATAAGATTTATGCCAAAAGAGATATGAAAATAATATTATAACTATATACAATCATATGTGGGCTCAAATAAAATCACTTTTTTTCTGTAATCATTACAAAGTTGGGTGATTCCAAATGGAATTACTTAAGGTTGCAGGCATAGGTCTGACACATAATTAAATGCTTCAAAAATCAAATAATTCTAAAATTGTACAATTAAAAATATCAACAGAAAGAAGAGATCTATGATCAAGGTTATTACCATTAACAGCTTATTTCTTTCGATTTCAATAGCACGAGGTTTAGGCTTCGTGCATTACTATTGACTTGAAATGTGTCAGCCAGAGAAACTGCACACAAAATGATTGGCCAAATCTTGAAGCCATAGGGCACTCAAAATCCAAACTAGGTACAACATGAATGTATTTTAACAATTGGAATCTTCTTATCTCTTTCCATTATGGAGAATATACTTCCAGATAAGGAAGGGAGGGAGGTCAAACTCCTAATCTCAAGTTTGGAATCAATTTAAATGTTGGGAGTTAGTATGTCACTCGAAATTTCTTATGAATTGTTGTTTGTTATGGAATTACTTGTAATCAAGGGTTAAAAGATATTCAGAAGTATTTACTCCTACATACAAGATTTTTATTTTCTCGCACAACAATGATCTCTAGAAAATCTTGCTGGGCTACCTCCTTATGATCCTTCTTAACACTTTTTTCTTCACCTGATTTGATCCCAAAATCTTAGAGCCTTTATCATATTTTCAACTTTTTAAGAACCCTAATCTGCTTATTGTACAAGTGTTCAAAATATTTGCAACATTCCAGCACTATTACCTTTATCTTTCAACCCCAAACTCTCGGATGAAATCAAAATAAAAGTTGAAAAATGAAAACATTTGGTTATCTTAGAGATTCATATCAAAGCAAGAACAAAATGTTAAAGAAAATGAAACTTTTATCCTAAATATAAAAAATGATAACAGAAATGATCAACCAAATATCAATCATTAAATTGTAGTTGAAAGTTCAACAAGTTTAAGCACTCCATTTCATAAACAACCACTGGCCAGTTTAAATTATCAACCAACAAAAAAGGATTCAAGTCATTCAACCATTCAGAGCCCTCACAAGAAGGCAGGAAGCAGTCTGACCAACAAATATCAGCAGACCAGAATAAAGCAATGATGCAAACTGACAAAGGAATTGAAACATACATTCTGTCTTCGAAGTCTTTCATTCTCTTCTTCTAATCGTGAAACCTTAATCTCCAGTTCTTGTGTGTAAGCCTGTACATTCAAATATATACATCTTTGTATCAAAAAGACAAAAAAAAAAAAAAAAAAAAAAAAAAACT